ATATATTTACATGTTACATAGTTATAAATAACTATTACATAATGCATTCTATATCATTCATATGAAGCAAGAATCAAAACAATGGAGTCAAATACCTCCAATGAATTTCCTCTGAACAGACACATTCTCTTACATATGTGTAACTATCACTCTCGGAAAATTTAGCATAGATACAATGTAACTATCTAATGCATAGTCTATTTTTTAATGTCCCTAAATGACCTAATCTACGCCTTTTATAAGTGCTTCCCCAAATTCAGATACAATCTGGGATCACATACCGTACAGAGATGTCATATCCTGTTAGTCTCCTTTAAACGAAAAACAGCTCCCCAAGCCTTTTTAATCCACAATGACTGGCACTTCTTAAGAATACACCACAAGCCTTCACTTTTTGTTTGATTGTTTCCTCCTGATTCAATTCAGGTTAAGGAATCCCGCGTAGAGACGGGCAGGGAATAAATCATTGGGTACACAGACATCACTCTGTTCCTGTATTGGCGCTGTCTAAATGTGATCACTTGTTCAGGTACCTTTCCCCCTTGCAATTAAACAATCCAAGTGGTGACACTCTGAGAGCATTGTCTCCCAATAGTCTTTTGCTTACTGATTTTAGCATCTGTCATAGTTCCTTTTCTCTTGCTGCAGAGACAAAATACCCGACGTCCAAAGGTTTAAGGGGAAAGGTTTATTTAGCTCACAGTTTGTAGAGGTTTCAGCGCATAATTGGCTCGCTCCAAGGCAGGGGGGCACATGGCAGAGGGCATCGCAGAGGAGAAACGGTTCGTGGCGCCCACATGGTAGCAAAACCTTAACAGCGTCTTTCTGCCCCTTTGCCCCTTTTATCTTATCCAGACTACCAGGATCGGGCGGTGGCAAAGCAGTCAGTGCACTGGTTTAGTAACCACACGCCCTTAATCCCAGGAGCACACAGTCTAGCTCCAGCCACCTATGAAAAACCACCTATGGGGCCGGGGATTTAGCTCAGTGGTTCTGCCGCCTGTCTCACGGGCACCAGGTCCCAAGTTCGATCCCTGGTACCAAAGAAAAAAAGCCACCTATGACCACATGAGGCTTTGGGGGGCACCTGCCTCCAGTCATCTTTCTTAACCTGAATCCTTTATTAATTACTACGGTTGCCAGAAAATAGTCATGGCCTCTTCCACCATCCTCCTATATTAATTAGCTGACAGTCTTCAAAAGAGTTTTGCAGAAGCAAAATACACCGAGGACCCCCTGTACAAGAGGGTCAGGGGAAGAACGCAGGCTCTCGCTTCCTGGAGAGGAACTGCTACAAAGGAAGGCACACCCAAGCCTGACGTCAGTGCTAGATGCTCAGAGCTCTGCCTCCGCTGTGTGTGAAAATATGCCCTCCATGGCCGCTCTGGTTCAAAGGGATTCTTCCCCTGTGTAAGCTGTGGCTGTTTACCAGGCTCTCTGTCGAGATGATGACGGGATATTGGCAGAGGATCTAAAGGAGCTCTGTTTCCATACAATAACCTCGCACTTCCTCCCTGGTGTAGATGGAAGACCTCAGACAACATCGGGCCTAGAAAATTGGATATGGCTGGAAAAATGTAGGAGATCATTTCTAAAATATGCTTGGCTCTGAAACTGTAGCAGCAGTGCTGCTCAAGCATTCTAAAAGTACACCCTTTCATCTCTCACCTCACACACAGCTTCAGTTCAAAGGAAAAAGAGCTGGGTATGGTGACAGAGCCTGTGATCTCAGCACTCCGTGAGGCTGAGGCAGGAAGATCACAAATCTGAGCTCCACTTGGGTAACTTAGTGACTTAGCAAAACTCTCAAAATTAAAAAAAAAAAATAGAAAAGGGCTGGGACTACCTCTCAGTGCAAAGGCCCTGAGTTCGATCCCTAGTACTGGAAAAAAGGTAAAGGTGTTTCTTTTATCTCTTCCTACCTTTATTATGGAAAGATGTCCTGAGCCTTTTTATAACTTCATACACTCAGGCTCATTCGGGATCCATCACCTTATCACCATGGTGATGCCAAACCCAGTGCTTCCCCTCCCGCTGAGCTCCAGCCTACCAAAACTTAGTGTAAAATCAAAAGAATGTTATAGTTTACATCAACAGAAGAACCCAGAAGCATTCTGCCAATGGTACCGTTAGGAGCCAGTACCAGGCTCCTGTCTTCGGTATCCAAAACAGCAATGCCATCTCTGTTTTAATAGTACTGGTGGACAATGCCCCTTGGTAATGATACAGTTCATTCCACTAATCGACACTTACGCTAAGACAACCTGAAAACCATGGAACAAAGAGTCAATGTGTTTCTGTGGGTAAATCCACCAACATGCCAGAAAAATACCTGATGGAAAATGCAAATTTAATTATAGGCTTACTTTCAATATTATGCTTTTCCAAAATGTGAAAAGCAAAATTCTACTTATCAAATGTTAATATACTAGCTGGGCATGGCGGTGCATGCCTGTAATCCAAGCACCTTTCAAGGCTGAGGCAGGAGGATTGCAAGTTTGAGCCCAGTCTGCGCAACTCAGCAAGATCCTGTGTCAAGATTTTTTTTAAAAGGATAGAGAGGTATCTCAGTGTGAAAAGCCCTGGGTTCAATCCCCAGTAACATACCAATATTGAGCAACTCAACACATAACGTATGTACAAAGAAACTTTTAGGCCAAAGAATGTGGGGACTTTACTAACTGTCTCATGCCTTACGACGGACCTCAGTAACATGAAGTCAAAGCTCTTGTACCATCTGTGTCTTCCATCAAAGAGTCTCAAGAATATCATTTCATTTCCTTCTCTGCACCCCACTGGCTCTGCACATTTTGGGCTCCTTTGGTTAAGAGTCTCTTCTACACCTTTGATCTACTCCCAGTCCAGAATACAGTAGCCACGGCAACTGATAGCACAAGGTAGTGTGGATGCACAGGAGTCGCCAATGATTGTGACCCTGGAGGATTAGAACAATGGTGTTGTAGATAGAAATGGAATGGGAATTAATTTGGCTGGGAGAAAGTTTGGGTTTGGAGATCTGAACTTGGAGATGATGGGAAAATCCTTAGTGTCTGGGTACGAAATCTTAAAAGATGCTATCAATAGAGACAGCAGTTGAAATCATGATGAAACAATCTCTTCACAAAAAAAGAAACGAGAGAAAAAAGAACAGTAACAAAGACATCCACTCACACCCCCCTGAAGTATTTCTGCCTTGTGTATTGTCTTTATTCTCTAATTTTCCCCCAGTAAATATCCTCATATTTGTATTAAATTCTGTAGTATCAAGAGTTATCTCTTATGTATCTTTTCCTAGGTTACTGGGGTCATAGAAACTATTCAATAAAATCACTTGGACTGTTTCTAATAACCATCCAAAAAGATCTATGAAATACCTCCTATCAGTGGAACTTTACCAGTACTTAACACAGTCCCTGGAAATGAAGACCACTAGTGTGTCACTCAGGGCATCTCCTTGAAATCAACACTAAAGGATATCTTTATATTAAATTCATGCATTTGTTCACTGAAATCTACTAAAAAATCCACCATGTGCAAATGCACTGACTGTGCCAGGATGTGCCTCTTGGGAGACATCCAAAGTCCCCACTCCTCTAAATCAGTATTTCTAAACAGTATTTCTATCTTCTCATGCAATGTCAGAGATAATTTTGTACTTTGTTTCATTTTAGAGTACTCTAATCTATTTGGGAATACAAGTACTTGTAACTTTACAATTTTCTTTCAATATTAACTATTATGGCTTGTGTCTAGGTGGACCCCCCAAAGCTCATAGGTGGAGCTTTTCAGAAGTGTGTGGTACTGGATTAGTTCATTAATTGGTTGTTTTTTTTCAGTTCCAGGCATGGATAATGGGAAGTCCCACCCTGGGTGTGGGTGGCACCAACCAATAGGCTTGCAGCCTGAATGGAATACAAAAGGACAAAAAAGAAGGCAGGCTTGCTGCTTGTCTTGTCCTGTCTGCTCTGCCATGGACTGTTTTTCCTCTGCAATGCCCCTCTGCCATGCCACACTGCCTTGGAGCCAGCCAACTATGGACTGAAATCTCTACAAACTGTGAGCTGAAATAAATCTTTCCTCCTTTCACTTGTGGGTGTTGAATATTTGGTCCTAGAAATAAGAAAAGTAACTAAGACATTGACAAATAGTCTCAACTACTTAAAACAAACCCATAGTAATATGGTTTGGACTATTGCTACTTACCTCCCATCTATAGATAAAACTGCATATTCTTGGGCTGGGGATTTAGCTCAGTGGTGCTGCACCTGCCTCAAAAGTGCAAGGTCCGGGGCCGGGGATTTAGCTCAGTGGCACCATGCCTGCCTTGCAAGCACAAGGTCCTGAGTTCTATCCCTAGTACCAAAAAAAAAAAACCCTGCATGTTCTCAAAGTTTCTTACATCTACTTTATTCATATACTGAAGCTATTAGTAAAAATGTATTACTTCTTTTGTGTTACAAGACTCAGACCCCAAGTCATCCTGGCCTTCCCATAAATCCTCTCTCTTTAGTCCCTCTTTTTGAACTTACCAGTGCCATTACCCATCCTCTCCTCTCTCCATCCAAATTATCCAAATCCTTCCACTCTTTCATGCTGGCCTCTCCAATTTATCTAGCCTTTGGCCTTCTCTGAATTCTACTGATTGCATAATCTCCAACATATACACATATATTGTGCCTGTGTGTGTCCAACCAATCTGTATGTAAATCTCCAACCAATTTAGCATTTATGTTTAAGTTTTCTTATGTTACTCTATAAATATTTCATGCAAGGTTCCTTTTTCCCCTCTGTCTACTAGAATATAGCAGCTATTTAAGGGAACGCCCATCTGCAGATGTTGTACAGTAGCACCGTCTATGCAACTCTGTGCACATAAAAGGTAGACAATATCTACAAATGACCAAAATACCTCTTGGTTTTTATAAAATTTCATATGATACCTGACATACTTTGGCCATTTGATAAATGCTTCAGGCCATAACATTACTCTCTATACCAGCATTAAGTTCATTTTACCAAACCCTTCGAGGAAGGTCCTATTTTGATGAAGAAAGAAGGGTTGGAGGAGGTAAATCTTTTAGCATACTGATGTCACCAGTGCTAATAGTATATTACTATCCTTTATAGTTTAAGGTACCATTACTAATGAAAGATTAAAGAAAATAGAGACAAGTTACAAGTTAGTAATGCTGGAATAAAAAGAAGCTTAGTATCTAAGACAGTGAAGCAAATAACATCTTGTCCATCAGAGCTAATAACATCTTGTGGAACTAGACCCAGATCTTCTTTCCCTTCTCACGGAAACTAGCAGTTTCTCCCTAAGCAGTCAAAAGACCTAAAAGACAGTAAGACCATGTCAGGCTCATTAGGACCACACTCTAATGGGTTAAGCAGACACAGGGATTAGTTTGGAAAAGAGTAATAACAGTGATCAGAAATAAATAGGATCAAAAATATTAAAAATGAAAACAACATCACTCAGAACCAGGCACAGTGCAAAAAATCTGTAATCCCAGCTACTCAGTAGGTTGAGACAGGAAGATCTCAAGTTCAAGACAAGGAAGAAGCCTGGGCAATATGGTAAGACCCAATCTCAAAATAAAAAGACAAACCATGGCACCAACAGAACCAAATCAGTCTCCATGGATGTGTGGGGACGGCGAGTGACGGGGCAAGGCAGGGCAAAGACAGGCCAGAAAGGAGACTCAGCTCAGAAAACACAGGCAGGAAAGGACACGCACACAACACACATGACACACACATGCACCTCTCACACGATGCAGCCACACATCGGCAACACACAGCACAAGGCATTAGGAACAGCCTGAGAGCAACCTTGACACCTCAGGCTCTCTAGAAGTGTGCTTGCACACGCACCCATGTGCACACACACCCACACACAACACCACTGTGCACAAGCACTGGGTTGAAGCCATACCTGCACACCCACCTCCAAGGAATCCCGACTTTTGCCATGAGCCCAGGAGCCCTCTTTACATCATGACCCTTGTACTGAAAGGATATTTGCCTTCAGCAAACAAAAACTATCTCAAACTCCAAAGACACTCATGATGGTGGGAAGCAAGGGGAAGTTGAGGAGGGGGCAATTATCGAACTGGGCTATTGAAGGGTTCCCTTGAAATCAACAACTCTCTGCCCTCTTCCTTTTTCCTGTAAAATAAAGCCTCGTATACAGGTTAAAGAAACTCTTCAGGGTAAAAACTGCCTCTGTAGCAAAACGCAGGTGGATCTGCTAAATGCAAATGAACGGAGAGTGAATGGAAGGGTTTTGCTTCCTGGCCATCAAAATGAGATTGGTGGAATTGTGCCAAAACCAGAAATAAAAGTACGCGCTCTTCTCCCCAAGCAAACCCGCGAGAGCTGCCTTTGAAGTCGCACGTGCTTCACAGGACGTGCAAGTTTATCATGTATGGCTTGGTGTGAGATGGTGTCCTTCAAACATTCCAAGAAGTGACTTTCAGCTCCTTCTTGGCTATGCTGAACTTTATACCCTGGAACTGAAATCTACGTCTCCCTCTGGTTACACCTTCTGGTCCCAGGGTCTGCCTCCGGGACTTGGCCCAGCCTCCTGGACCTGACCCAGGCGCTGCCAACATGAATGGGCTCCAGTTCCCTGCTTGTCCGGACTGAGGCTGCCTTTACGGCCACCTGGCCAGCCTTGGCCGGCTTTGCAGCCTTCTGGTCACCCCGATCAGCTCCCTGGGAGGCCTTGGGCGCTTCCGAAGTCGCCATTCTGCCTGCCCAGCCTACAGGATGAAGGACAGCTTTGCATTCTCCATGCCTGGTACCCCACATTGAAAGGCGGAAAATATCACATTTAGACAAATAATAATGTAGCCAGCTAGCTTCACGATCAGGGATTTCCCTGGTAAACCTCATTCTAGCTTTAAATATAATAATATTTGTATCATTTTTTGTGTTTCCCACCTAGATACTGAGGTTGATGCAACTAGGAGCTAAAAGATCAGAGAGAAAGAAACAAAAATATTTTCTATTTTAAAATGCATTAGTTCACTCACTGTGTGAATTTTAAACAGAAAATCACCAAAATAGTAGCTTATCCGCATAAGAGATTTAACTGTAGAATATATTAGAATATGGGATCTTTTCTTAGCAAGGGAAGCTAAAACTAAAAGGAATCTTAAAGACCAAACAATGCAATTACTTAAAGAAGAGGAAACTTCCACCCAGAGTTAATGGTTCAGACTCACAGAGTAGTGTCAAAGTCACTCATACGCCAATTAAAGGAGTCTCTACTGGCCAAGGTTGAGACAATCTGAATAATAATCAAAAAGAATAACTGTAAGTTATTCAAATACATTGAATATACAAAATCCATGGGTTTATAATGAGCTGATAAAATGTTCCTATCAATACTCCTCTCAAAATAGTGTAGAGAATAACTCACTGACCACCAGTGGAGGTTGGTAGGGCCCCAAATTATTACTCTGAAAATTGATTTTTTTTATTTGGTACCAGGGATCAAACTCAGGACCTTGTGCTTGCGAGGCAGGTGGTGGAACCACTGAGCTAAATCCTCTGCCCTGAAAATCGATTTTTTAAAAACCTATTTCTCCTTTTCAAACTGTACTTCTGGATAATCAAATAATTGATGATGGAAATTTCACCCATATAAACGAATCCCAACTAGTAAATGTAGAAAGAACAATGGAATTAGAAAATTTCCATTTTTCAACTCCTAGGGAAGATCATCAATTGTCACAAAAATACATTAAGTGAAAAGTTGACAATGAAATGCATAAAAGGATCCAGGTGAACACAGCCAAGGGTTTAACAGCCAATTTAAAATCTATGCTACCCAAAGGGCCAAATAAGTGTAAGAGAGATGCGCTAGAGGAGCCCATCCTGTGACTGCCCCAGGCCAAGACACTGTCCCAAAGAACTTACGACTAGAGAGAATCAGTGTGTAGAGTGTTTGTCCTAAATAAATGGGGAAAACTTTGGAAGAAACTAGATGAAAAACCTGTGCAGGAACAAGATAAGAATTACATCCAACTTCTCCTCAGAAACTGTAAGAATAACAAGCAACTTCTCTTTGGAAACCATGTAAGAGGACAATGGAGTAAAATATTTAGTTTGACAAAAAATCTCAAATTCTATACCCTGCTAAATTATTCTCCAAAAGTAAAGAAGAAACAAAGTCTTCCTCAAAGAAAAACTGAGGGAATGAGTTATCAATACAACTACCTTGCAAGAAATGTTAAAAGAAGTCTGCATGAAGGAAAACAATAAAGCCAGGAAACAGATCTACATAAAGGGAGTATATTGGAGGAGGAATACATGAAAGCAAAGTAAAAGCTTTCATTTTCTTATACTTGATTGATCCAATGGATAATAAATTGTTCAAAATAAAACAATAACAATGTATTCAATTATGCTTATGTATAATCTTACGCACTACACACATGGATCTCTAGGTTTGTATATTATGTATAAAATGAATGAGAACACTGGTAAAAGGGAGAGAAGGGAGGAATTAGGACTATTTTGTGATTTTAATGCACTCACACTACTCTTGAAGGGGTATATTATATGAAAGTGGACTTGGACTAGTTGTAAATGTCTATTTCAAACTCTAGGGCAACTTTTTTTAAAAAAGGTATAACTGATATGCTAAGAAAGTACACAAAGTAGAATCATAAACCACAAAAGGCAGGGGGATAGTGGAAGACAAAAACTGAAGCAAAAGAACAAATAGAAACAATAATGAAAATGGCATGCACTGTCTACAAGAATCCATTTTAAATATAAAGACACATATAAGTTAAAAGTAAATATAATGTGCTAATACTAACCAAAAGAAAGCAGAAGTAGTTACAGCAGTTTCAGACCAGGGCAGACTTAAAAGCTAGGAAAGTTGCCAGGGTTAGGAAAGTCAATACAGGATGAATTCTTCCAGGATCCTTTCAGTCCTGAAGGTGTATGCATTTAATAACAGAAATCAAAGTTCACTGAACAAAAATTGATAGAATTACAACTGCAATAGGTGAATTCACTATCGTAGTTGGATATCTGAAATTACTTGTCTGAAATGGACAGACTCTGAAGGCAAAAAATTAACACCCTCAATCAGCTGGCTATAGTGGAGATCTACAGACTATTTCACTCAAGTACAACACTCTTCTCATTTACCAAGAGAGACTATATTAAACACACTTTAACAAATTTAAAAGAATAAAAGTCATACAATGTCTGCTCTCATACTACCATGGAATTAAACTAGAAATCAATAACATAAAGATAAATGGAAAAAATCGCAAAATACGTAGATTAAACAACACACTTATAAATAACACAAAGGTCAAAGAAGAAATCTCCAGAGAAGTTATATTTTGAACTAAATGAAAACACAACTCACCAAAGTTGTGGGACATAATGAAAGCAGTGCTTAGAGATGAATTTACAGTACTGAATGCATATATTAGAAAAGAAGAAAGATCTAAAATCAATTACTTTACTTTCTTCTTTACAAAACTAGTAAAAAAGGAGGGCCAAGTAAATCCCAGGTAAGTAAAAAAAAAAAGATATAACTAAAATAAGTGCTGAAATAAGTGAAATTGAAAACAAGAAACCAAAAGAGAAAAAAAATCAATGAAACCAAAACTGGTTCTTTGAAAAGATCAATACAATCAAAAAGCCTCTAGGCTCAAAAGGAAAAAGAATATTAATTATGAATATCAGAAACAAAGAGGGGCCATCGCTACAGATGCAACAGACATTAAAAGGATAAGAAGAGCATGCTATGAACAATCCCATGCCCACTAATTTGATAACCTAGATTAAACAGACCAATTTCTTGAAAGATACAATCTTGCAAAATACCAGGTACAAAAAGATCACTTTGACCTTTGTGCTGTTTCTTAAAAGCAGAAAACAGAATTCCCATATAAAAGATCCTTCTTAGACATATTTGAAAGATGTGGTATCTTTCACTTCTTCAAGGATGAGAAGTCAAAAGTGAAAGGACTCTGTACAGACTGTTGAAATACACCTTATCTTTTAAGCCTTTTAGTTGCTTTTTCACAAGTACTCATTGTTCAATCCAGTATATAAGGCAGAATAATTACTTCTTTGGATCTTCATTTCCTTATGAGGGCTCCTGTACCATGCAAAACTTGTAAATAAATATGTATGCTTTTCTCCTGTTAATCTATGTCATTTTATTCATAGAACCAGCTTGTACCCTAAGAGAATAGAGTTGTTCCAGTCCTCCATAGACAATCTGCATCTATTAAAGAAAGTGAATCAATCATTAGTAACTTTCCAAAACAGAAATCACAAGGCTAAATGTGTTCACTGGTAAATTCTACCAAACATTTAAAAAGGAGATAATGTCAATTTTCTACAATCTCTTCCAGAGTATAAAAGCTGAGGAGTATTTCCTACCTCTTTCTATGAGGCCAGCATCCTCCTAATACCAAAACCAGACAGCAACCAAGCCATCTTTTTCCTCCCCACCAAACTAGCCATTCCTTCCAGCCAGGAAGTTTGAGAAAAGAAAGCTCACTGAGAAAGAAGCTGGGTCCCAGATTCCCTTGGTACCTGTCCCCAAAATGAAGGTGGTAAGATTTCCTGTTGCTGTATTTTTGGAATAATCCAAGGCAGCCATCTCCTGCCTTTTCCAGAAGGGCAGATGCAGCCTTGCTTTTCAACTATTTGACGTGTGTACATATATATATGTATGTATTTTTTGAAAAATATAATCCCTATGCATTTCACCTTTTGAAAGTATATAACTCGGTGAGTTTTAGCATATGTTCAAAGTTGTGCAGCCACAATCCCTATATAAGGGCCATTTTCACCGCCCAGAAAGAAAACCAGTCCCCTCTAGCAGGCACTCTTCATTCTCCCCTTTCTCCGAGGGCTCCCAGCAACCAGTAATCTATTTTCTGTCTCTATGGATTTGCCTGTCCTAGACACTTCCTATCGATGAAATTATATGCAACACAGGCCCTCAGCATCTGGTTTATTTAGCTTAATGTTTTCATGGTTTATCATGTTATAGCATGAATCAGTACTTCATTCCTTTTTAGGAATGAATAATGTTCAGAAATACCATTTTCAGTGAATCGTTTCCACTTTTTACTAGAGCTATCATGTGCAATGCTGCTATGAGCACTCATGTACAAGTCTTTGCACGGACACGTTTTCGGTTTTCCTGAGTATACACCGAAGAGTAGACCTGCTGGGTCATATGATAATTCTGTGCTGCATTCATTTTTGAGGAACTACCATACCATTTTTCAAAGCAGTTGCAACATTTCACATTCCTGCCAGCAATATTCAAGGGTTCCAGTTTCTCCACAATCTCACCAACACTTGTTATTATCCATCTTTTTGTTGTACCCTAGGTGTGAGATGGTACCTCACTATTGTTTTGATTTGCATTCTGGCTAATGATGCTCTTTTCATGTGAGCATCATGACCACCTAAATATTTTCTTTTAGGAACTATCAAAATATTTGCCTGTTTTCAATTGGGTTATTTGTCCTTTAATTCCCCAACACCGCCCCCCCCCCCGCCAAGTACTGGGGATTGAACTCAAGACCTGGTGCTTGGGAGGCAGGCACGGAGCCACTGAGCTAAATCTCCAGCCCTGTCCTTTAATTCTTAAGCAGTCCTTTATCTATTTGGGAAGCAAGTCCTTCATCAAATATACAACTTGAATTTTTTTTTTTTTTTTGCGTTCTATAGGTAGTATTTCCATTTTCTTGAGAATGTTCTTTGAAGGGTGGGTACTTTTAAATTTGAATGAAGTCTTTTTTTTTTTTAGGTTTTTTTTGTGTGTGTGTGCTTTTCATGTCATACATGACCACTGCCTAAACCAAAGTCACAGTAACTTATGTCTCTGGTTTTTTTTCTAAAGGTTCTATAATTTTAACTCTTACACTTAAATATTTGATCTGTTTTGAGCTAATTTTTATTTGGTGTGAGGTAGGGTTTTAACTTCATTCCTTAGGCAGCTTTCTTTTTGTGATGCTTTCAATTTGTTTTTGTAGAGCTGCAACCCTCAGAAAAGCAAGTATTTAACAAAATAAAATTACTGGTTAAATCCTGGAAGGGAGAAAATACTATGTCCTTGGCAGCTAGGCTCAGTGGAGGGCTGCATGCTGTAGGTGAAAAGTAACTGTTATAAATTTTCTATGGTCCCTAATCAATGGAGACCAATACGCAGGTGGCAGTGAAGAGCATACATTCCAAAGACATATTATTTCTACTATTTTCATATTATTTCTGATACTACATATTATTTCTGCTATTTTCAAGCCATGTGACCTAAAGTCAGATTGTTCTCTCTGTGCATCAGATCCTCGTAAAATGAGGAGAGACAAACTAGAGCATCTTCATAGATTTCTAAGGTTTCGTGAGTTAACATAAGCAAGGCACTGGAGCACTCAGAATGGCGCAGGGCATGCTGTGAACATTCAGTACATGTTCGCTGTTATTATCAGTAAAGGTGGCATCACATTAATGCCTGGGAGACAGTTTCCGAAGAAACATACATCTCAAAATAATAGCAGCATGGAGTTGGGATGAGTGATACGGTTACTATGACAACATCTCTGATTCTCAAGGAAGTTTCCTTGAATTCTGAGCCTTAGGGCTCCCCAACTGAGGATAGCTTGATGGTCATAGTCACCTCTGTCCTGTATCCAGGTCACTTCCCGGGGTTTTTTAACATAATATCAAGATGTTATTATCTTCATAATAAAACAAGATCACATTGTCCTTTCTTCTCTTGCCTTCTTCCAATTCAAAATGTTGTGTCTGTTAGTAGCTATCATTCCCTCAGATCTGCAGCTAGGTTCAACACACCCAATGCCAGCATATTCTTTTTCCAGAAAATCAGCTTAGTCTGCCCGCCATAGCCACTCTGCTTCCTGCCACACTGCCACTTTCCCTGGCTGGGCCCAGAGAACCTTGCCTCCTGAGTCACCGTGTCACTGTGTGGGACAGCGCTGCTCGATTCTGAGAAAGACCAGTGGGTTTTAGAAATATTCGCCATGTTGATAGGGGTGCTGTGGGCATGGATAGGAGCTCACTTCCTGTTGTATCTTCCACAGTCCTGTACATTTCCCTATGACAAATCCAGGTGCCAAATTTTCCATGCCACAAAAAAAAGAAATAGATTTAATCAAGTAGTGCTCTATTCTCTAGATTCTTTCTCTATAGTGTTTTTGCTTCCAAGGCATTTAGCAACAGTGCTAGAAATACTTTTTAATGCTAGAGTTGGAGGGGGGAGAATTAATTCTGTCTTATTTTTATTTTTTTCCCACAATTTCCCGCACATTTCCTAAGTTTTAAGAAACCCACATCATACACATCTTTCCATCTCCCCTCCAAAGACTCTCCTTTATACTGTCAATGCCTAATGATGTACATCTGAACAATTTTACACTCAAAGGTGATTTTCTACCAGCTAGACAGCTTCAGGAACATTTCCTTCCTCCCTTCACAACTACCCCATCAATTAGTGTATGTTGAGCAATTGCAAATTACTTTCAATATTAGCATATTCCAAATATAATTAGTGAGGGAAACCTTCTGGGACTGAATCATGTACGGATGACTACTGAGTTCTGACAAACATCAGGATTTGTGGTTCTGCTTTCACCAGGAAGCACCTTTTCACCCCCACCGTAACTCCACTGTTGCTGTGGCTTAAAACAGTCTTCGAAATTCCCTTTTAAAATGCCTTTGAGGCCTGGGGGTGTAGCTTAGTGGTAGAGCCCTTGCCTAGCACAAGCAAGGCCCTGGGCTCCATTCTAGCACCAAAAAATAAAGAAATCTTTTCAGACCCTGTTTGTTCTCTATGTCCACTCACATCACCCACACTTGAGTGTTTTATGCCTTGGACTAAAACTGTGATGATTCCGCTTGGTCACTCACCCAGGCCAGCCTCAACTGAGGGCCATCCTGTCCAGTTCCAGCACTCACTCATTTCCTCCCTGCACACCTCGTGTGAGTCACTGTGGTGCAAACAGAGCTTTGTCTGTAATGGCCCGGCCTCACACCAGAGCCCAAGCTGAGAGCAAAACAGCCTGACTCCACCTTAAGGATCTGCTTCTCCTAAGAAAACACATTTTGCTTTTCCACACTGAACTCAGTAAGAATATACTAGGGTCTCCCAGAAAGCCACAGGGTGCAGCGAGGCTCCTCCCACAACCCTGTCCCTGGCCTTCCCCGTCCTTATCCTCCTAAGATGCTAAGGATGAGTCTTGCTACACCAGTACCTGCAAACATGAGGCAGAAGACTCACTTCTCAGGCCAGGGGAGGCTCCCTGCATTCAGGAAATGAGCCAAAGAAACCAAACACCAAAGATTTTTTCCCCTGAAGAAAAAAGAACAGCCCCGAGAGCCAACACCTTGTGGAGCCACCGCTGTGGGCTAAGACACTGTGGCCTGGCCCTTCCACAGCTGAGGAGCCAGTGGCAGCCTCCACAATGCGGGCTTCTGTGTAGCGAGGGCAGCCAGCCATCCTGGCCCACCGGGGGCTGTCCCAGTTCCAGGCGTGAAAGTCCTGTGTCTGCAGTGGCCACCCTTCTGACACCGGCTCTCTGCTGCTGGCCTGCTCTTCTTCTGTCATCTTCCAAACCAGGCCAAGACACAAGAGAAGGCCAGAAATGAGGAAAGAGGTAAGGAAGGTTAGGGCAGCTTTTCCCTGAGACAGAACATTGTTGGCCCTAAAGAGTTTTGACGGTTAGATTGAACAGAGTCTTTCAAGAGAGGAATTCCTTCTTTTCTTCAAGCAACATTACTCAACCAGGGCATCTGCGCCCTCATAGAAGCCACTGGTCATATATTCTAGGTTGAGTGGTAACCTTGCCTAATGTGGCCCACTGGCAGATTCCCACCCAAAGGGTTTTGTTTTTGTTTTTGTTTTGGGGGCTGGTTTTGGTACCAGGGATTGAACTCGGGACCTTGTGCTTGTGGGGCAGGCACCGGAACCACTGAGCTAAATCCTGGCCCCACTCAAAGGGTTTTAAAGTTTGGTGCTCAAACCATCCACATTAGAATTGCCTGGTGAGACTGATGAAACCCAAGTTTCCGGGGCTCCCCCATACCTGCTAGATCAGAGTCTCTGGTAATAGAGTTTAAAACTCTTCATATTTTTAGGAAAGCAAAAACAAAAATACATCTGGTGAATACTGAATCCCAAGGACTGATGTCTTAACTATCTCTTATTCCAAACCTTCACCCTCAGCACAAGCCAGAGCTCAAGGAAGACTGGTATCAGCAATCCTTGGGTTCAGCAAAGCAGGACGGAGGTGAGCTTCTCTCCCTAGCCTCCCCTCCTCCTCCTGTATCCCTCCCCTATCTCGGCCCCAAGAGCCCATTGCCATTTGTTGCCCTGTGGCTGGATAACATTCACCAAGATCCACCCAATTCTGAAGGATCTCTGTGTCCCAAATCACCTGCAAGTTCTCCTTCCCCAACCATCAAGTCTTTCATTCACACAGCTGTTAGGAAAACGATCTGGATAAATTCATTCATACCTAGGGCAAAATGGCTGACAGGACTTGACAGTCTTCTCGAGAAGGAAGAATGGATTATTTCTCCATGAGTCACAGACCGGGGGAATTAAGGGTCATCCAAGAAAAAATAGTTTGGGAGTTTATAGGTACTTAATAAGTAGTTATTTTTAAGACTAAAATCATTCATAGGCATCAATGGAAAAATCTTTAGGTACACAATAGCCAAAAAGAAATCCATTAATGTATAAGATGGATCGTGACCTCATGAGTTTTATTCTAGTGCAAGCTTGATTTGTTATTTGAAAAGAAATGGATATAATATGGTAATATTAGCAAATTTAAATGTGAAAAAGTAGCGGTTGATGATGTAAAAGAGATTGAATAAATCATGTCATAAGCCAAAGAAAGTATTATTATTAGCATTATTACAGTATGTATGTAATAATTACTCATTCAAACAACTTTGCTGTGTTCAATTACAAAAAATATCTGTGTGTGTTCTTCCTCTCCGTGGTTCATTGTTCAGAAAACCCTGATGTTTTTTACAATTAGGGAAGACAGTGGTCTTGACCAACCTGGATCTGCTCTGGACAAGTAGACATCTGTAGAGTTAATCCAGTTCACTCTTGCTCAGTGTCTAAGAATCCCAAGGCTAATGCTGCTAATATCCCCCTTGGGTTTTCAGCCTTTGAAATCCATTCAACATCACACTCACTGAGCCTAATACCTCCTTAGACACTTCCTACAGGTGATAGCACCTAAGCAAAAATGGAAAAGGAAGTGGAAAGGAGCTAAACATGCAGGGTTGATGGACATTATAATTTCCAGTTTGGGGTTCTTTGGGTGGTTCACTGGTGGTGGTACTGGGGAGCAGATCCAGTGTCTTTGCACTGAGCTACATCCCCACCCCTTTTTATTTTTCATTTTGAGACAGGGCCTCACTAAGTTTTTCAGGCTAGATTTGAACTTGTGATCCTCCTGCCTCAGCCCCTAAGCCACTGGGATTACAGATATCCACCACTGTGCTGGCTGGGAATCATGATTCCTAATGGTCAATAATCAGCTCCTCCCTGCCAGTCCTCCTTCTAAAGGGCATGAGGACAATAACCACACAGGACAAAGGAAAGAGGGGCATAAAACTGGCTTCTTCAGAGAGCAGAAACTTGAGACAGTCTTGCATTATTGGGTGACAGTATGATCCTAATTTGCAATAAACACTGCAAAATGAGTGTATTTGCTGCTGAGAATCCCCAAGATCAAAGCAAGATGGACCCATAAGCAACGGCCCTCCAAGATGGACAGAGTTAATGGACTAGAGTTCCACCAAGCTCAACATATGTGGCCCAGAAGGTAAAACTGAAGGGCTCTCCCAGAGAAAAAGAGAAAAAAACCTTCAAAATAAATGGGCTGTCAGCCATGCCTCTACCATGGTTCCGAAGCAGAGGGCATGCATAGTGAGCATAAGCGATATACCATTTATAGAAAAGCTGAAAGGGAGTGGGGATTCAACAAGATGTCAGAGGGACAAGTGAGACAAACCAGAGGTGACGGATGATGACAGAAACCCAACCAGGGTGGCCAGTGAAAACCAGATCCCCACACTGTGTGCCCAGCAAGCAGCATCTCCTTCAACCCTTGTGAGGGCTCTGGGAGGTCTCACGGCCCAGGGGAGGCTCTGAGAGGCTCAGTTACCCACGCACATCACCTGGCTACTCACCCACAGAATGCAAGTTGAACCTAGGTCCACTGATTGCAAAACATGTACTTTCACTACACTAAAGAAAGAGAACTAGAAAAAGGCAAAGGTTAGCAGGACAGCAGATCTGCCAAGGAAACAGTGACTGCAATTATCCAAGGCACTCTGGGTAAGGAAAATGAAATTAAATCACCAAACCTGAACAGCACATCCCAATAAACAGCAGTCACTACCTGCGACTTCATGATGTGCTTACACACAACCCTTTGCTCCTATACTTCTCTCGGTACAATTGTGATTTAGCCTTCAGATTGGTTTGAGAGTAACTGAGCAAGAAAATTCTACAGAGAACACACACATTTGGTCGTCTCTAGTTAGGAGCTGTACACGGAGCTTTCAGATGGTAAGAGCAGGGACCAGCCCAGGAGTTTTCACAATCCAGATACATAGCTCTAGTAGAACTCTTTCTGTGAATCTAAGTCAAGCTCTAAAGGCTGTAATTCAAACTAACATGAAGAAATTAGAGAAAGACATTTTGATCAGCACGTAGCTTTAGAGGTGTGGCCAAAGGTTTTGGAAGAAAATGTCAAATCCAATCAGAATATAATGACTGTACATTGTTGCCAAGCACTGAGGAAATGCAGAGTGTAGTGGAGCAGTGGAGAAACTTCTCTGCAAGCTGAGGATGCGGACGGATGTCTATCCAAATCAGATGAAAGAAAGACATGAGAATATCACCCGGGAGACCACTGCCGAAAATCCATCACATCTGAAAGGTGTGGACTGCTGTTGTCATAGCAACTATATAGCACTTAAATCTCACGTTGTCATAGTAATTAGAAAGTGGGTTTGTCTATATTTCAAAAACAGCCTAGAAATATGTCTCTTCCACTCCAAATTTCTATCAGATAAACAACTCTACAGTGGTGCCTATTGCTGGCCTAGTTACCTCAACAATTAGCATAATAACCTCAAGGCCCCTCCTTGACTTGCTTTCCATGGTGAAACCTGGGTCTCTACAACCCTGGAAAGGAAAGCAATTAAATATAGAGATGCTGAAGTAAATAAAAGCCAAAGTACTAATAGTTTTACGTGAAATCAGAATAATCTTTGTAAATCAGGCTTTACCGTGTAGGGAATGTTTGAGAATCTGACCCCTTAGAGAACCTGTCAGGGGTAAGTGACTTTAGATGTAACATTGAGTAAAAAGTGAAAATATAAAGGTTTTACAAACACTATTAGAATGTTTAGGAGAATGAGGAATCTTCTGTATTTATAAGTTTAATTTTTTAGTTTACTAGAATTACTCAAGTCCTTAGAAAAGTTGCTAAGGTTTTCAGGTTTGCTTTACCAGGCATTTGAAGTGATTTACAAGCAGATAGAATGTATTTATGTACAAATATGACTTGAATGTGCTTAAATTACAAATCAAATTGATTCATGGGAATTTAGTCTACCCAACTTGAATATATTGACCATTAAAGTAAATCTCTTTGTCACTTTATACATTACTTACTAGTTTTGTATGTAGATTAACAAGACATTTAAGGTAAAATAAAGATAAAAAATGAAGATTACTTTCCAAATTTCATATATCAATATTAATTAAAAATTAATATTACAGTGGCACCTGGTTCACGAACTTAATTCTTTCCACAATTCTGGTCGCAGAATTCATTCCATGATTCTGGTTGCAACCAAACTGCTGAATTAACTAATATTAATTTTAATTCCACCCAAAATGGATAGCCTCAATCTAACTATGAGATCATGTCAGATAAATGTAAAATAAGTCATTCTACAAAATTATCTGTCTATACTCCAAAAATGTCATGTCATGAAATGAAAGAATACCCTGAGATTAAAAATGAACAAGGGACATGACAATTCTTGATCTGGGATTTTCTTTCCCTAAAAATGACAGTTTCATTTCATGACATCTAAATGGTCTAAGTGGGACTAGATAATACTATAGTATCAATGTTAATTTCCCAATTTTGAAAGCCATACAGTATTTATGTAATAATTCCTTTGTTTTGGGGAAATACACAGTGTACTATTTAGGAGAAAAGAGATATCTTATCGTGCTTATCTTAATGGTTCATGAAAAATGAGTACGAGGAAAGAGAAAATGATAAACCAGCGTTTAGAGAATTTAGATGAGAAGTCTATATTCCTATCCTTTTAACTTTTCTGTATGTCTAGTGCCGTATCAAAATAAAAGTTAAAGGAAGGAAGAACTAATATTTCAAGTAACAATTTTTTTTCTCAAAAGCCATTCTTTGACATCAAAAATCACTCACTGACAGAAAAGTACAAAAGAAAACGATTAAGTGCTGGAAGTGTAAAGCTAAGAGAACAGACTGAGATTGAATAAAAAGTACAAAACGAAGACTTCAGGTTCTGACTACAAGTCTGTAAACTGGAGAAAGCATTATTTCGAGAGGGTTCAGCCTTCCTCTGCCCCCGCCCAAAGTTGGCCACACCTCTTTGGACAGTGCACTGATGCAGGGCTGCCGGACATGCTCGGCCCAAAGGCTCAGCCGCTAGGGCACTGGGCCCAGGGTTGTCCCCGCCCTCCCAAGAGCCCAGCAGAATCCTTTTCCAGAATCTTCCTCTTGGCCCAATACCAAGGGCTCCCGGGCAGAAGGCAGACCGCACCCTGCTACTCACATCTAACTCCAGCCAGGCCAGGAGAAAGGGCTTTGAATCACTCTTTGTAACAGGAAAAAAAGGCCTTATTCAGTGGGGAGACTGAGACACAATGACTCCCTTAGCATTCTCCTTGGTAATACAGCCCCTCGGCCCCAAGCATTCCCCATGGATGATGCTCCTGATCCGTCTGCCTTCCAACAGACCCAGCCGTTCTCTGAGACCACAGCAGATGGATGGAAAGACCAAACAGCCCAGAAAATGTACAGCTTCCCCAGCCTGGTCCACTGCCGCCACGCAAGCCCCACGGCACTCTGCAGGCAGACTCCAGCCTCGCTGTCTGGTGGCGGGCACACCCTTCCCCACGGCAAAACCGCCCCGCCAGGGTGGCTAAGAGCACTCAGGACAGAACACCAGGAAATAGGAGTCAACAGCAGACAGAGATGTTTTCTAACGATCAAGCACGAAGAACCAAAGCTGGGAAGAGCGGCAGAAGGTGTGACTCACAGGCAGACCACTTGCCCGGCGCATGGAAGGCAGGCTTGGAGCTCAACCCCAGCATCACAGAAATGACCATCTAAGGGAAGCTGCGGCCTCCGCTCCCTCCAAATCCTTTATAAAACCCACTATAGCGCATAACTAAGGCGCACTAATTAAAAAATCATGAGAGAATTTACCTACTCTCTCACATCCTAGATTCTGCATGTGTTTAATAAATCAATCTCGATGCTCGGACTCAGTCCCATTGACCACAGAACAAGACAAAAAAAAAAACTTAAAATAAGACCAAAAGAAAAAAGTTTTCATCTAGTTTATTCATTTATACAGAAAATAAAAATGATAATTATTCAATCAGAAAACAATTATATTACTCAAATAAGGTACGGCAGGAAACTCAGGCGAGGAGAGGACCCCTCGTATATGCAGTGGTGACAGGACAGTAAGGTTCTCGGGTCTGCAATGCAGAGGCTGCCAAACTTTCCTGTGCCCTCAGAAGAGGGAGAGGTGGCACCCGGCAGGGACCCTCACTTGTTTGCCTCCGCCTTGGTCTCCACCCTCTGAGGAACAAAGACACAGTTACAGCCCTCAGACCCTGCTTGGCTTCGCTTTCCCCCAGCACTGGGTAACTCTGGAAAGTTGGGCTCAGACAGCCGCTGGCACTGGGAGGGGTCCCATCAGGGCCCCTCCCTGGTATGATCCAGTGTCCTCCCCGTGCTGCTGCCCCCTGGAGGATCACACACACACACACACACACACACACACCCGCAGGGCCTCCCAGATAGCTGTGCTCCAACAAAAGCAGACTGGCCTGAAGGAGCCAGGCTCCACCCGGGTCATCTGGCTAAGGTCAAGTGGCCCATGAGCAGCTGTTTAACTTATGAGCCCCTCTCTTCCTCTGTAACACGGGACTCAATGTCAGCTGTTGTCTCAAGGAAAAAGTACGTAAGTATGTTTTAAATATACAAAAAGCCCCTTCAAACTAGCAAAAGACCTATAGACCAGGAGAAAAGGAGGTAGGTAGAAAAGCTAATCAGAGAGGAAGCAAAAATGGCCAAAACCATTAAAAGATGCTCGCTAATAAAGCAAGGAATTAAAAATACAATCATCTAACACTACTTCTCATCAGAGATATTAATAAGATTTGGAAGATCAGAAAAAGTATGGAAAGAAAGATATCCTCATACACGTTGACTGGGAAGGTGGGTTACTAGGGATGTGGTAGTATCCAACAAAGTATCCATACTCAGTTAAATGGGAAATACATGTCTTTTGACCTAGTGAAATCTCTTCTCCTACTCTCCTAGAGACATGCTTTTATATATCCAAGAGTCACATGTGTGAAAATGTTCAACGCAGCACTGTTTAAACGTCCACGAGCTGAGGACCACAGGATGGATTACTCTGGATCAGAAGCTGCCATTACATGGATTTGTACTGGCGTGGAATATTATCAAGCTGGAAGAGTGCCTGACACACTGGAGCCTCGGAGTTGAAAATATGCGTTGAATAAAAAGAAAACACGTATGTCACCTCTGCGGTCTTCTTGTAGCCCCTCACCCACTCTATCTCATCATATTCTCAGAGACCAGCCAAGCAGGCATTCTTGTTGTCAGGGTTAGGATCAAAGCTCAAGGCACCCATGACCTACCCACAGTCACAACCCCACGCTGTGGAGCTGACACCCATTCTGCCTGCAAGGAGGCAAACCACGAAGGAGACCTCACATTTTTAGGCAGCTGGAAGGAAGGTCTGTCAGTAACGGCTTGCTGACCTGGACAGGATTGCCCTTCCCCAGCCAAGGCCTCCACTCAGTGACACTTGCCCTTCCGGACCACTGCTCGGGCCCACTGGGCATCCAACAACAGGTCTGAAAGGAGGTCATTCAACAACAGGTTGCCATGGAAACCCTAGCCCCCCTCCTTGCTCCTGGAACAAAATGGAGCAGGCAGGGAAATAGGAACGTTTGTTAAAATGCCTGCTATAAGCCAGGCATGGTGAATAAGAAAAAAATTCATCTGCGTCTTCCTTTACAAATCACCGAAATAAAAAGAAACTGTTTTGTTAAGCCAAGTCCAGAGCAGGCCTGCATGGCTGCTTAATGTAGGGCAGGCATAACTGCAGAGGAAGTTCCGTGTGGCATCCTCCAGGCATCTCTCCTACGGCCCCTGGTGGCCCTGACAGCTGTGTAGTCATCGGCCTCTGACACACGTGCTACCTGTGCATGCCTGGAATGCACACTCCAGACACACCAGGAAAAAGGACGGGCTGATTCAGAAAACACCAACGCCGTCTGGAACAAGCCAGAGGACAGCCAATGTGTCCGGAGACGGCAGGTGTCCCAGACGGGCAGAACGCTCTTCCCCTTTCCTCCCCACTCCCACGCTGTTAGACAGTGGGGGAAATGCTGCTGTGTGGGACATTGTTACCTTGGAACTTTCATCTTAATTACAGAAGCTCTTAGTAACCGTTGCTTAGTAACAAATGCATTTGAAATAGATTTGTTGACTTATTATGAGATGCTCTGAAAAGACCTGAGAGTGAAATTCACTGATGGAAAAAAATAGCAAGGGCCTGATCAAGTAAACACATTTTTTAGCTACCAAAGTACTTGCAAAGTTAGGGTGCTAACACATCACAGAGCTATCACTGAGTCTGACAGTATTTGACAGTATTTTCTGCTTTATGACTGATCTCTTAGGTTCGGGACCACTTCAGGTACAGGTAACCGACCGGAAAGCTATCAAAGCTGGGTGACATGGGTCTTAAGAGTTGTCACAGACACAAGATGCTACACAGGAAAAAGCAGGGGCTGCTGGATCTCCTCAGCTCCCTAACACCCTTCCTGGCAGGGCTTTGAATGCTTCTTTCCTCAAGATTTCAGAAATGCTTGAGGCTTCTGACAAGTTGTCAAGTCAGAAGGCAAAAGCAGGCAAAGCTTCACCTCAATCTTTCCAAGAATATTTCTTCAGCGCCTGTTAATAAAATCTGTGATCAAAGAGGCAATGGAAATGCATTTTAGGATGACATCCTCCGTGCGTCTTTACCAAGGCGAAACCCCAAGCCCACACTCCTGTCGCAGGGCCAGGACCTGCTCCTGTCTCCTGACAAGCCGGATCACCCTTTCCATCTCCCAGACTGGGGTCCTTCGCTTATTGTCTCAGAGGAAGAAGTCCCCTTGGCAGAGCAAGTCCCTCTGCTCCCTGAGTCCTTCTGGCCTTTCTCTCATGCTGCTTCCCCTCCAATCTCTTCCTGCTTTTCTCTGACCATCTTAACTTCCTGTCTGAAGACACATGGCTGCCTAATGTTTCTTCCTGTATGCTTTCGGATCCAGCCATCTCCTTCCACTCTTCAAAAGGTACCTAGGGTCCCTCCCTGCTCTTCTTGCCCTGAAGTCCCTTCTGCTTCAAGTTTACCCAGGTCCAAGCCTGTGGCCTTCTGGAAGGAGGCAAGAGAACAACCGCTCTGTGGATCCCTGTCTACCTGCTCTACTAGAACTTGGGCTGTGCTTGGTCGGCTTCGTAGATACTGTGGCTGCCTAGCCCTCAGTGCATCTGAACTTGAAGCTTCATGCATCGGTCTTCACGCTGGCTTTGCTGTGGCCACCCAACATCAACCTATTCAGGAATTCCTTCATTTATCAAGCATCAACATGCCAGGTATGGTTTTTAGGCAACGATGATACAGTAATAACAAAAACAACAATGAAGTATTCTCATATAATTAAGTTCATAGGATAATTACCCAATGTCAGGCATGGTGGCACACTCCTGTAATCCCAGCACTGGGCAGGCTGAGGCAGGCGGATCGTCATGAGTTCAAGGCCAGCCTGAACTACATAGTGAGACCCTGTCTCAAAAAATCCAAAAAAAGAAGAAAAAAGAAGAAGAATTATCCAAGTAAATGTAAGTGCTAAGAACTAAATTAGGCTATAAGAGTTTGGTTTTTTGCTTGCTTGTTTGTTGAGACAGGATCTCACTATTTATCTCAGTCTGGCCTTGAACTCACTATGTAGTCCAGGCTGGTCTCAAACTCAAGGCAATCCCCCTGCCTCAGCCACCTGAGTCTAGGAAGTATGGCTTAGTGGTAGAGCACTTGGCTATCATGCACAAGGCCCCAACACTGGAAAAAAAAAAAGGGAGCGAGAAATGCAGGCAGGTGAGGTGAGGGAAGGCACCCCTGTTGGGAGCAGAGAGACTCAGGGTGAAAGGCACTGAGAGGCCGACGTTCTGAGGTGGTGGAGTCCGAGAAAGAAGACGAACAGGTGCAAAGGTCCTGGCTTCCTCTCCCTTAGGGAGTGTCTCTCCCTCTCTCTCTCTCCCTCTCTTTCTCTCTCTCTCTCTCTCTCTCTCTCTCTCTCTCTCTCTCTCTGAGTTATGTTTCTCTTTCAGTAAATCAGTATCAACTTCAAAACTAAATAAAGCCTCCCATTGCCAAATCAGAGCAAGGATTGTTTTGGAAAGACTTAGGCTGAAATGTAAAATGACAGAGCCTAGGTTTTCAAACATATATTTACAAAAATATTTTTCTTCATATTTCAATATCCTAGTTTATTTGCAGCTCGCTTCTTTTTTAAACTAAGAATTTAGATGTGAGTATTACAAGTTTTCACTTCTCATCAACTTTCCGACAAATTCTGTGAGGAACAGCTGTTCCCATAAAATTTAATTTGCCACTTCTCCCCCAAAAAAGTCGCTTGGATGTAAAATAAGTTTGCCTTCCTGTTCATATTTCACAACCAATTAAACCTGAAACCAGGGGAACCCCCACCCCCACCCCAAGGAGGGCGCCCTCCGGGACCCACACAGGCCCAATGTGAGGCCAAACCACTGAGTCCCAGGGCCCAAGAACAGGCCATGGAATGCCAAACGCTGGCCCTGCCAAGAAAGAAACTGGTAGGGATGTTGGCAAATACAAAGATGAGATGTGAAAACTTCAGGATGATCAACTATGCAAATCAACTTCCATGTTTCCAAAATTTAAAAGATGGAAGCTGGGCGTGGTGGAGCCCGCCTGTGATCCCAGCGCTCAGGAGGCTGAGGCAGGAGGATGGATGGCCACAAGTTCAAGGCCAGCCTGGGCCATATAATGAGTTCAAAGCCAGCACAAACTACACAGCAAAGCCCTATCTCAAAAAAACAAAGAAAAAAGTTTAAAAGATGGACTTACGTGGTCCGAGCTGACCTTTATAGGAAACATCCTTGGTAAGACTTCTGAACAGAAGTCAGATGCAAAGCTGACAGGCTGGTGTTTGTTAGTAGCTCCAAAAATAAAATCTTTCTTCCAGGGTTTTCCTAGGTGCCCGGGTCACAGAGAAAATGAACAGGAGGTGTAACGGCAACCGAACTCTTCACGCTGGCTGCAGAACAAGGTTCCACTGTTGCAATCCATTCCTTGACCAAGGGAAATCAGTGGCCCTGCTCAGAAAGGTATTCATGCTGGGCACCCAGGAAGGGCAGGGAGGGGAGGCCAAGCAAGGAGGGCCAAGCAGCGGGATGAAGGGTCACTCTGCAGCACTCCCCTGCGCCCCTCTTCCAGCAGCCAGGGCCAACACTCGGGAAGCAACCGAGTCCTGCACACTGCACACCCAGCCCTTCACCCTGCACGTGTCACGGCAGTGACTGTCGAGGGTGCTGGCCTCTGTCCTCACACTCTTTCTTGTCCTGCACCTCCCGGGGGACAGAGTCCCTTGGGTTCCTGGCCTCCTGATAACCCTGGGCTCATTTTTCTGACCAGATCCTTTCCTGCTGACACCAGATAGGCCACTGTCCCTGTACTGTACGTGCACAAAGGGCCCATTTGGGGTCGGTTTGCACTTTATTTTCACAGCAGCCAGAGGGAGACTGCCCAGCGCGTTCTACACCCCGGGCCACACTCCAGCCCAGGCCGCTTACACTGTCTCCCTTCTCCACCTGACATTTCTCTTCAGAGTTTATCACTTTCTAACGCATTACCCATTGTTTTATTTTCGGCCCACTCCTCCCGCTAACATGGAAGTTCCACAGTGCCCAGGGCAGCGCCTGGTTCACAGTAAATGCTCCATGAAGAGTAAGTGAATGGATGAATCCTAAACTGACTGAATAAATGTGGGGGTAACCAAATTCCCACTATAGCGGAATTCTCATTATCAAGCAGTGGGACAAAGGAGGCAAGCAGGGAGCCAGAGTCAAACCCAACTTTATTTCCTCCCCAGTGTCCAACAAATGTGGGATTTCAGCATGGGACAATCCCCAGTGGATGTCAGGCCCCTTGTCTTGCCAACCCTCAACAGTCAGGGAGTAACTTCCGAGTTTGGACTCTAGGAAAGTAATTACAATATAATGTTTCCAATCCACTTATCCCAAGAATTCTACTTGCACCCAATAAGAATCTACCCACCGGTGACCAGGCTAGAGATACCTACCATTAATAAACATCCAACATAAATCCAGAGCAAGAGAAGCTAAGAAAAAACAGAAAGGAGATTTAATTTCACCTGGACTTTTACCTAGCTCACCCAATCCAACATCAGGTAATAGTGCACTGTGCTCAGTTCCAGACACAAATTCCAACTCAAGAACCACAACTGGAGAGAGAGACAAAAGCCCAAGGTATCAAGCTGGTCAAGAAATCCAGTGACCACAACTCTTTTCCTCTTTGTTCTTCTAAAGTGAAAAAGTGACCTTGGAAAAAGCAGCTACACCACCTTCCCCATGTCCAACAACCTGAGTAAAGGAATAACCCTGAAGGGAAGCAACATTACCACATGCACTAAGATGGTCTCGCGTCCTCCCCTCCCCTCCCAGCCTTTGTGGACTTTCTCTGAGCTCCTCTCTGCCTGTCCCAAACTGTGTACCCTGAACCCTGGGCTGTCCAGTTCAGCCGCATGCCCCAATGACGGGAATGGCTGGTGCCTATGGGCTTTGGGGGGACGTTTAAGATCCAAACTGTAGTACCACATTATCTCAACACTGAAATATAGGAAAAGTCTCATCTCAAAGCTTGGGCTCATAATAAGTCTACCACACAGCAAGGTTATAAAGGTTAATGTATTATAAGCTAACTTTGTGAAACAAGAGTACATATAGAAATTAAATGTTCTCTTTGTTTGGGTTTTGTTTTTGTTTTGTTTTGTTTTTTAGTGGTACTGGGGATTGAACTTGGGACCTTGCGCTTCTGAGGCAGGCGGCAGAACTACTGAGCTAAATCCCCAGCCCAGAAATTATATGTTCTCCTAAAAGATGTAGGACTACATTCTATTTGTTAAATGGTACAAAACTTAAGGCCTCATAAACAAAATGGAATAGGCAAAATACAAAACATTGTGGATGTGGTATGTTTCTCTGAAATATCTTTCACCTTCTTTAGCATTTCTCTTTGCTAAAAACTGGCTTAATCATAAAGAGAACAATTCTCCAGTTCAGCAAAGAGTTCTTTGTAGTGTTAATACTCTCCAGAGAACAGCAGCTCTTTAAAGCAAACCCTGAAGTCACATTAAGAGAGTCAGCCGCAATCTAAACACACTGTAACATTAATCCTGTCTTCTGCACTCCTGGGCTTCAACGCCACCTGCACACTGAAAAACTCATGATATAAAACCAGACAGGAAAAAAGTACAACTCTCAAAAACAGCAGCACAAACTCTCCATGTTATTCAAAATGCTACAAAGTAACAACATCGTGACATAAATCTTCATGCCCAACAGTCTCTTTAATGGGTTTTCAAGGAGAACAATTTTTTTAAATTATAGTTTAAACAGGCAAAAAAAAATAATTTCCTTCTCAAACTCTTACTCTAATATCTAAATCTCCCACAAAATCTAAAATAATTGGAGAACACAAGCCAAATCAGAAAATGCACATAAGTACTTCTGTAATCTTGAGGGCCGTGCCTATAAAAATGTCACACTTTAACTTCAAACTTCACACTCGAATCTCAGGTAACCACCTCATGGCTACAGTTCAAACAACTGCGCCAACTGCAACATCTGAAAAGATCAAAACGGTGAAATAGCTAAAGCTCTGCCCAGTTCTAGAAACAAAACTGACTACATGCAGGGTTTCCTCAGAAAAGTAGTATCAAGCGGTCACCAGGGCTCCCACGTAGCAAGGGCTGCGTCTGTTGTTCATAAACATCTCTTTTCTTCCTTACAATCAAGAGTGGAACCCACCTGATGACTAGGACAGGAGCCCCAGGATAGAGCTGGCCCCGGCCAGTGGCCTGTCTCCTCTCAGCTGCCACATGGAAGGTCATCCTGTAGTTTCAGGCAGGCTCAGACCCCAAAGTTTAAAACAAAGGGTTTCAGAAAAGTTAAAAATATCAACAAGTCCTGAATTTCTGGCCACTTAAATGATAAAAAGAAAAAGGACCAGCAGAATCAAGAGCTTTAATTTATTCAGGAAGAGGAGGAACTATACTCATGTAATTTGGGCGAAGTACCTTTGCCTTTTCTTTACAGACATGGAGAGCTTTCCATCTGGCTTCTCTCGACTAGATTTGTAAGCATGGTGCAAAAAAGTCCAAGTGTGCTTTTGTCCAAACGTACAAAGAGTTGCCAAAAAAAGTAATCCAAGATAGAAACGCTAGCAGCATTGGGGGAGACACTGAAAGCTAAGGTCTGATTATGAAAAGGAAAAGGGGGGAGTGTGTTTGGGATTTGTTTTCAAAGTCCAGGGCAGGGGCAAGCGTGGAAGAGGAACACTTCCTCAAAACAAGCACTAACTCAATTGCTGGATAAGATTTCTATCTCATAAAGTTCACCTGGAAGAATAGGCTGGCCAGGGACCAGGTCAAAGAAAAACAAAGCAGGCTAAAGCTCATGCTTATCATGGGATGCACCTAGGCCTGTTCACATACACAGTCTTCTTAGGAGGCCGTAACTTATATGGAAAATACTGCTGTTGCAAAACTGAGTTTATCTAACCCACCCTTGAAACACAGATAAAAGCTTTCACTATTAATAAAATAATAAGTTTAAGAAAGTGAAGCTTGGTGGGTATGGTGGCTCACGCCTGTAATTTCAGCACTTGGGAGGCTGAGGCAGGAGGATCCCCATGTGTTTGAGGCCAGCCTGGGCTACGTAGCGAGAACCTGTCTCAAAAAAAAGAAAAGAAAAGAAGATGAAGCTAGTTGGGAAAGTTTTGTGCTACAATTAAATTTTGAAATTGAAATATAAACCCTAAATGATAGGAACGTTAGGGTTATAAATCTCCACTCTCGAATATTTACATTGAACTACAGCCACGATCGCTGTCAAGAGAGTTCTTTTTCCCCCTCTTTAAAATAAAGTGGGAAGAACTGTGTCATTTTCTGTGAAATGTTAAACTGTATTTCTTCTTGCCGCTTCCACTTGAAACTGAAATTCATTTCCCTATAAATATTTTAACACCGTTCTCCTCAGGGTAGGAACAATCTCCTACCTGCTTCACAAGGGCAGGCACAAGTGACACGGTAAAGACCCTGGATGGAAGAGGAGGTTCCTCTGCCCTGGAAAATGGTCTCGAGAATGTGTTGTTGGATGAGGAAACAGACAGTACGGACAATTTATAATTCAAAGTCTCTATTTCTTCCTTTTTTAAATCTCTAACTTTTTCAGGCTTTATGGACGTATAATTGATACACAAAAATCAACAGCACTAACCAGGAGTGATATACAAAAATTAACAGCACACGCCTGTAATCCCAGCCTTTAGGAGGCTGAGGCAGGAGGATTGTCAAAGCCAAAAATAAAATAAAATAAAAATAACAACACTGAATACTGTCTTCAAAATTCCAAGTTCACCGGACATATATTTCCTTTCTTCTGTACTGTCAAATATTGAGCTAGTTTTGCTTTGCTTGACTTTTTCTTAGTGAATCTGCTATAGGGAGAACTGTTGGATAAAGATATGCCGGAGTCCTGACTCCGAGTGCCTCGGAAGGTGACCATATCTGGAGACAGGCTCTTTACAGAGGTAACCACGTTGAACTGAGGTCATAAGATGGGCCCTACCCCTTCTACGGACCGGTGCCCTTAAAACCCGAGGTGATTAGTACTCAGATGCACACACAGGAAAGAGGAGGTAAAGACACGAGGGAAGCTGGACACCTACAAGCCCAGGCCACCGGCATGGGACAGCTTTCCTCCCAGCCCCCAAAAAAAGCCAACTCTCCAGCACACTGATTCGGACTTCTGGCCCCAGAATTAGAAGACACTAAATTTCTGTCATTTAAGCCACTCGGTTTTAGGTATTTTGCTACTGCAAAGTCCAGCCAACTATTACAGAGCCCACAGGGATTGTTTAGCCTGAAGTCTTCCCAAACCATCTCTGCCCTCACCCAGATGAGAACTTTGCCAGGAATGAATGTCACATTGATTAGGCTGTAATTTCTACAATCTGTCTCTCTCACCTTCGAAAAGTGAAATGGAAAATGTCCCCATCCCGAAGCTCTGTTTTGCAGAGTTTCTCAAAAGGAACAGGCAGTGGCAATTACACCTAGTGCTTCCACTGTGTCTACTCTGTGTCAACGACTTACACAGAGCATCCTACGGATTTCTTACGGTCACCGGAAGCGGAGGTGATGCTCTACCACCATCCCCTGACATGCAGCATCTCCCGCAGACAGGAAAACTAGCACAGCATCTCCACTCTCCAGGGAGAGAAACTGAGGCACCACAGGGAAAGTACACCCGCTGAGCCCCAGACCCCACCCCTCTCACTTTCCCACCACATCCTCTCTCGTTGCTGGGGCCATGTCACCATGACTGTGGACCAGAGCCACATCTTCAGGGCTCTCTTGGGTGCCCAAGATGCTACTCTTCTGGATCTAGAGACTCAAAATTCTTCGATCACAAAGAATGCCTTGGCAGGTTCTTACTCCTGGCTCTCCCAACTTTTACTCTAATCTCTTAATGATGTTTGTGGATTGTTGCTAGTTGTAACTCTATTCTTCTTAGTTGAAATGATGAAAGCCAAGTAGGAATCAAATAACCACTTTTTTCTTCACTATTGTCTAATTGTTTATTGTCACAGTGTCTCGCCCAACCAATGGTACATCTCTTTTTTTTTCTCCCTCCTTGGCACATAAACACTTTGAAAACTCCTCTGTCTTCAAGCTTTTTCGAAAGCCATTGCCCTCTGGGCCTCTAGCTTTCCTGATCTGACTCCATTTGTGCCCTTTCGTGAACTCTCAGCCATCCATCATGTAAACTGTGTTGGACTCAGAACCCTTTGTTTTTAAATGTATTCTCCCTCTTCAATAACGACCACTTCTTCCACCAGAACTTTATTTTTCAGCCTTCCCATTTCAACCACTTTTCATTCTACCCCTTTTGCTATAATTTGGATCCAAAATGTCCCCCAAGGCTTGGTTCCCAGCTTGGCACTACTGGGACAGAATGAAATCCTCAGCATGGTAGGAGCCAGTACAGGTCTTGGACCACTGGAGATGCATCCTTGCAGGGGACTGTGGGACCATGAGCTGTTCCTCCTTTGCTCTCATCCTGGCCATGAAGTGGACCTGTTCTGTTACCTACTCCTGCCAGGATGCACTCCCCTGCCACAAGCCCCAAGGCAATGGATCCACCCAAGTATGGACTGATCCTTCCAAAACTGTGAGCCAAAATAAGCCTTTTCTCTACAAAAGCTGATTTATCACAGGCATTTTGTTACAGTCATAGAAAGATGACTAAGACACCCTTTTTTGTTTACCTATTAAAGGCCCACTTTACTAAAGGCCAACTTCGAGCCAAGGAATGTACTGGGAGAAGTAAGATGCTTACAGGGCTCCTGTCCGCAGAGAGCTCTCAGAACCTAGGGCTTCTTGAACCATCACAGCCCTGCCCTCCTCTCCTACACTGCTGATAAATTTTCCTAAAGCCTAGGTGTGGTGTGACCAGCAGTTCCTGCCTTCACTCTCAGAAATTTCAAATAACAGAGATCACATGTTCCCAAACACTCACAACTCCTAAAACCACCCCCCACACACCCAATTCTTGTTTTCCAAATTCAGTCCAAAGCAACACAAAAGCAGTGAAACTATGAACAAAAGCAAAGCAAGGAATCAAGTGGACTTTTTCTCTCACGCTTTCGGCACATAGTGCCCAAGTGCCGGCAGGCTGAGAAGCTTCTAGACAAGCAGCACACAGTCAGCTCTGCGGTGGAGCAAACTCCATGGCCCCTTCATCTCATCCTCATTGCAGATGCTCGCTGTCACCTTCCAGCCTCAAGCCTCTCCTTTCCATATATGGATCCCCCAACTGGACATGCTGCTTTTCAGCACATGAACCTTCCACGGCCACCATCCCAGTCCTGCCCCACGCCTGTCCCACAGTGGTGATGGCCACCTGCCCCTACTTGCTTTCTCTGGTGCCTACGTGGTGGTACAGATGGGCGGTCCTACAAATTCACCCCCTGGCTCTTCCAAGCATTATCTGATCCTCCTCCCTTCAGGTACCTCCTTTATGTGACCACCTGTTTTCTCCTGCTACAGAATTTTTAAATCCAGGGAGCCAATCTTTCCTGACCCACCAGGATACACCAGAGGAAAAGCCAGGCTATCAGACAGAAGACTGCAGTACCCCATTCAGAGTAAAGATATTTTTTAAGTCAACCAACACATGCTTACTCAGTATCTGTTACAAACTCACCATATACAGGGGGAAAACAATATGCTTTTCTCTCAGTGCCTGCCAAAATGCCCTTCTACAGGAAGCAGCCCCTGTGCACAATCATTCGTGTTTGCAGACAGTCCTCAGCCCTTCGGGTACACAGAACACAAGAGACACAAACAAGCCTGCTTCCCGACTCCCAGCCAGCGCAACCCAACGTTGCACAACCAGTTCTCAAAACAGGCCACAGAGGCGAGCCCTCCAGTCAGGGTTTTCCTTCTTTAGCAGCCTAGGAGGAAGAGACGTGCTAATATGCTGTTTCTATTCTTGACAGGAATAACCCTTAATTATCACGTGCCTGGAGCATCGTGAAAGTTTTAAATAGAATTTCATGTAACATTAAGAAAATGGGAGAACTACGTCACTGGCAACAGAATAGGCTTGCTGCCGAGAAGGGGAGAGAAGCAGAGTGGGAAGAGGTGGGGAGCATGTATCCTTGTGAGTTACTCAGGAGGTTCTGGAAATGGGGAAGAAAAGACACGGGATTACAAAAAAATCCCATGAGAAAATAAAATTTTTTCATGAAAGAAATACAGACTTTTCATTCATCCCAGATTGAGTCTCTGATCCCTGATTAAATTCAGTTTCAGGAAAGAAAGTGATTAGACTTATGTCCAGGAGATCAATATACATGATATGCAAGTCAACATACATATGGCCTTGGTCAAAATCACAGGATTTGCTCCTAAGACTTTGGAAGCGGTGTGGCAACAAGGTGATTTATCAACTCCTTTTGTAGGTGCCATTCCTCTCCTCCTCGGTCCAGGTGCAGGACAGAGACTGGTCATCTAGCTATCGATTTCAATATTTCCCCTAAGCAGAAGAGGTGCTGAGAAGTGGTGCAAATGGCCAGCTCCAGTCAGGACTGTCACAGGGATACTTACGGAAAGGAGAGTCTCGTCCCTGTCTTGGAGTCACCTGTCTTGGCTGGCTGGATCACTCACGTGGCCAACAAGGCTCACTGTGCCCTGACCAAGGTAGCTGGGGAGTCTGCTCTACCAAAGGGTGCTTTCTAAGTAGCACGTGACACACAATGACAATTAGGACCAGTCCTTCCCTCAAGAATGTAATTTGCTGTAGGAAAGATTCATGTATAAAAACCAACTATAGAGAGTTATGCTGAGGGTCTTTCCACGGCCAGTAGCTGTTTCTGTATCTTATCCAACTTCTGTTGACTAAATAAGGATGGTGGACTTCACATCGCTGCTCTTATCAAAATGGGAGAGGAACGTCATGATATGAACAAAGAGGACATTTGATTGAGACAGGTAGATCACACCTGTTGGATAATAAAGAATTTGATTGGCCTTGGTCCATAGTTCCTGGGAGGAATACTTTAAATACTTGGAATTTCCCAAGTAACTGGAGTTTCTCTGCCACTCCTGAGCCCCCTGGACACATCTGAATGTCTGCTTTCAAAATGGAAGAGGATCAAAGATGGATGGAGGGGAAAGGAAGGAAAGGAAAAGAGAGGCAAAAGGGAACTGAGATGTGTTACGTACATGTACCAATGCCCTACAAGGAATGTAAACATTGTGTGCTACAAACATGCACTAACAAAAGCAAAAGAGAAGATGAATCCAGGTGGGGGTTGGCTGCTTCAGTAAGACCAACCATGTCATCAGGTTGGGGTGTTGAGTGGGGCGATATTAACCAACCCCTCCTTGGGAGGGAAGGGGTGCTGGAGACTGCACAGTCACATGGCCAGTGAATGGAGCGATCATGCCCAAGTAACAAATCACCCAATAAGCACTCGGGCCCAAAGCTTGTTGAAATACATCTACGTGCCGGGTGCCCAGGAATCTCTGGGACTTTGCCTTGTGTGTCTCTTCCTTCGGCTGCTCAATTTATATCATTTATGATGAAATTATAACCTTAAGTAAGGCACTTTCCTGGGTCCTGTGACTCATCCAACCTAATGTCATATCCAAAAGCACTGTAGACACCGTCCAATTTGCAAGCAGTTGGTCAGAAGTGTGGGTGAACTGAGAGCTCCCAACTTGTGGCTGGCATCTGTGGCCTCCCTGTGGGCTGCGTCCATAACCTGTGAGGCGACGCTCACTCACAGGCCCCAGGTGGTTAACGTCAGCGACGCAGTGCAGCACTCAACACCGCCAGCGCTGGCCAGCAACAGCCCCTTTCAGAAGCAAATCTCTTGATGCTGACTTGACCTACCCTTCTCCCCAGCCCCTCCATCCCCAGGCTGAGAACCAGCACAGTCCAATAAGCACAAAATCACCTTATGTGGCACCCAGACACAACTACAGTACAAGACAGGCTATCTGATGAGTGATGTAATTTTTTTAGGTAAAAAAACTACAATGAATGCAGAGAGTCAAACAGTTGACAGAGATTCAGAACATTTTCACAAAGGTAGAGACTTACAGATCAAAGTAACTCTCAGGCAAGAAGGCTTATAAAATAGACAGGGAACCGTCAAATCACTGTATTTAACTAGTGATGAAAATTACTTCTAATGTTTATTAAATCCCCAAAACCCTGCTGAACTTCTTTATTCCAATGAATCCTTAATGCTCTGAGTTCAAGTCTATTCTTACACCCATTCTACAAGCAAGGATACTGATCCTTAACAAATCTGGTGAAGGCTCTGGAGCTAGCAGCCCACTGTGGCAGGGCAGGAGAAGGGTAAATAGGAGTGGGTAGAGAAGATTGTGGAAGGTCCCGGGTGTTTGTCAGAATTCCAACTTGTTCTTTTTTTCTGTAGGCTACGGGCAGCTGTCAAATACGAAGCAAATCATGTTCTGAAAGACAATGGTGATGGCCATCTGTGAAACGGAGCAAGACAATCGGGGGACAAGGGGAAGGTTGCTGGCCACACAGAAGACAGCCTGAGCCAGGGGAAGGGCAGAGGAATGGATACGTGGGGATGGGGACAGCGAGGAGGGAGGTGAGGACGACGACAGAGATGCAGGAGGCGCAGGAGCCGCAGGAGCCGGAGTGGACTGTGGGAGAGAGGCCAGGACAGAAGGGTGCTGATCAGCCAACCAATCAGACATCAGGACGCGTGCGCTAAGGGCCCGCCCTCCCACGTGACCTGTGCACTTACTGTCCCTGCCCTGTGCAATCTCAGGCACACATGCTCTTGATCCATTAATGGATAATGAAGTGCTATTTAAAGGCCACATGCAATACCAGCAGGCAACCCACTCGCTCCCCCTCTCCACCCCAGATCCGCAGCCCCTGGGCCACGCACAGCCATCATACCCTCCAAGCTCTGGCTTGGCTTTGCCCTCGCCCTTCGATGGGTAAGGACTGCCCGAGGAGCTGATCAAGGATTTCTAAGTGGCTTTTCAGACCCTGAGCCAGGGTAGAGGTAGAACAGCCCACCAGTCCGGTTAGTGATCAATGCGCCTCAGGAATGCACATATCAAAAGAGTTATCTGCCAGCTCCTCCTAGCATTCAGTGGAAATGAGTCAACAGAGGTGCCGGCAGGGTGAACAGAAGCTAACTGCAAAGCCACTCCTCCAGGACCCCCAGGAAAATGCAAAGCTCATTCTAAATGAAATGAATGTGGGGCTCCAGAGCTGCGGTCAGTAGTAGCCATTCAGACCTGGTCCTTTCAGAAGCGGCTTCTTTCATAGTTGTGTGGGCCCCATCTAGGTATCGCCAGAGAGGCCTGCAGAACCATCTGATTCAGTAGCAGGACTGTGCCGAATTCCAACAGCAAACCTGAGCACAGAAGAATCGATGATAACCCCTTTCGCCTGTGTCTGCAGTGTGCTGGTCACTCCACTCATAAATATTCTCCAAATGTTAAAAGCCTTGGGCAGTGTGCTTACAGTAGAGCAGAAACGGAAGAGAGAAGAAGGCAACTTCGGCTGCCTCTGGAGCCCCTGAGCGCCCGGCTCTGCAGGACAGGGTGTCGGGGGTGCTGCGCCTGCATCTCCCCCAACCCACATTCCCGGAACTGCGCCCTACAATGCTCATCTGAAAAGGTTAAAGAAGATGTACCGAAATGTACTCTTACACTGGTCCTTGACACATAATCAATACACCTCTAAGTGCACACATCTATGTCTTGCATTAACCTTGCATTTCGCCATGATTCAAGAGATATCTGCTTGGCTTCACTTTGAAATCTTTTCTAATCTGACATCATTCCACAATGAATGCATCAACAGAAACAGGCAGAAACCGGGTACCACAGACACCTTTTGGAAACACGTTCAAATGGGGCAGAGCTCAGTGCAAGATTTTTTTTTTTCTTTTTAGTTAGGATCTCACTAAGTAGTTCAAGCTGGTCTTGAACTCACTATGTGGCCCAGGCTGGCCTCAAACTCGCAACAATCTTCCTGCCTCAGCCTCCTTAGTGCTGAAACTACTGGAGTGTGCCACCACACCCGGCTTCGGGGCATGATTTGTTAATACGGTCCTCTACCATGATTTCAAGATACTAAAATCCCTTTGGTGTAGTCAATGGCAAGATATGGTAACTGAGAATCAGCGCTTCCAGTGTATATCAGAACATTCTCATTCCAATCAAAGCGTATCCTTCTCTCTTCTTCAATCACCAATTATGACCCCCAAATAGTCATCCTTTCCTATCCAGTACTACATCAAGGAGCAAAGGTCTCATTTTTTCTGTGAAGGATGCAACTTAAAAGTCAGGCTAGCTGAGCGCAGTGGTGCATGCTGTAATCTCAGCACTCAGAAGGCTGAGGCAGGAGGATCACTGTGTTTTCAAGGCCAGCCTGAACTATATACCAGAACACTGTTTCAAGAAAAAACAACATGTACTAATGGATAAAACTAGAGCCCCTACATACCACAATATTCTTCCATTGTCACTTTCTTTTGGCGGGGGGGTCAGTACCGGAGATCAAACTCGGGACCTTGTGCTTTCGAGGCAGGTGGCAGAACCACTGAGCTAAATCCCCAGCCCCCATTGTTGCTTTTAACAAGGTTACATTTTCTCCTCTCTTTAGGGAGAAATATAAGACAGCTTTCACTTATTATCATAAATAAGGGATTGGGCTGATGCTTAGGTACCTAGTAGGTGTCATCCGATATACTGACTTACAAACATTTCTCCTATTTAACCTCTATAAAGTATTTGTTAGAATAAAGATATTTTTCCCATTTTACAGAATATAATGAAACCCAGAAAAAAATCAACAGCAATAAGGGATGCTTTCAGAAAGATGTATTTTGAAACTGGGCAGAAAGCCAATTCTGACATGCCTGTTCTAAGCTGGAATTCGTGAGTCTGTGCCATCCACAGGAGTATTCTATCCTTGGGTCTCATGCTTGGTGAAGCCTGGTTACCAGACCACCATGCAGGCTCCTAAGAGCCCAACCCCAAGGCAGTTAACTCAGCCCACCCAAGTGTCAGGAGCTTGCCTGGCCTCACTCTGAACCGGGGTTCAGTGCAGACACCACACACTAATTGGCTGGTGTTGTCCACAATCACTGAGGGGCTGGTGTTAACTGAGCACATCTTAAGTGCCACGGTCTGGGGACAAGCAGGTGAACACACACACATCCCTCCGAGGGATACAGATAGGCCCATGTGGTTCCTGCATGCTGCGCCACCACTGGAGAGGGCCTGGCCGTGACGATTCTCAATGCTTGCTGGCCTGCCGGGCACTAAAACTAGGGAACCAAGCCAGGCAGGGGGTGCCTGCCTGTAATCCCAGCTACTCAGGAGGCTGAGGCAAGAGGATCCTGAGGCCCAGGCCCCTGGACAACTTAGGGAGACACTGTCTCAAAAAACAAAATTTAAAGAAAGGGCTGGGGATGTAACCCAGGGGTAAAGCACTTGCCTAGCGTGCACATGGCACATGGCACTGGCTTCAGTCCTCAGTACCACAAAAAAAAACCTAGAGTTTCTGGAATTTTTCAACAAAAAAATATTGTCTGTATCATGATCCAGTACACACACCTACCCATACTACTAGGAGGAAAGACATTTGCCAAAAAAATACTATTTGACTAGTCAAATGCACTCTGATATTTTCTCTCCTCTTGCTATTTTTCTTTCTTTAAATTCGGGTTACAACCCTCTATTGGACAGCAATCTACAATGTAAAAACCTTTAGCATAAACCTTTCAGCCAGATGTGGTGGTGCTTGCCTGTAATCCCAGCACGCTGAGAGGCTGAGGCAGGAGGATTGCAAACTTGAGCCAAGCCTGGGCAATTTAGCAATTCATCCCTCAAAAAAGTACCACTGCAGAAACAAGAGCACCACTGCTGAATAAAGGCCTGCCATGTACTGGACCCCGGGCTGGACCCTTTCCATGTGTGGTCTCGTTAATCTGCACACAGCTGTATGAGTCTGGCATTAATAGTCCCATTTTACAGATGAGGAAACCGAAGCTTAGCAATCCAGAGACTTGCTCAGTAAAACAGGACGAAGCCAGGATTCAGTCCATCTCCAATGAGCTCCAACTCCCTAATGACAACATGCTGAACTTAGTGGCAGGCTCTTAGGTAACCAGAGCTGACTGAATAGGAGGAATTTCATTAAGTTCCCTGGAGATAACGCCAGTCCTCGGAGTGTTACAGAACCAAATGTGGGAGGCACAAAAACATCAGAGCACTAGATGGTGTGGAAACTCTCGGGTTTGCATTTCGTTGTTTCCTCCCTTGTCCTCTGATAACCTCAGGAAGAAGACTAACAAACAGTGGCCAACAGAGTAATGGTAAGTGAGAGCCAGCAGAGCAGTGCCCTAGATAATCACCCTCGAGACGGCCTGCTGAAGTGCACTGACCACACCGGGAGCTGAAATGACCAGGCCCAGCATCCTCCGGGCTGGGGATGCTCCATAAATATTCAGGAGACAGCAGCTAACACAGCCAAAGGGAAAGGAGCAGCAACACACAGCCTGCTGCTTCATTTTTTAAAAGTCTTCCAAAATCATGTGAAGCAAGACCCTCTGGTGACGGGAATCTTATTCAAAAAGATAACCAAACACCCTTAGACATTTGGGTTCGTTTAGCCCTATCATTAAAGATGCATTTGACAGAGGTTCAAGAGATACAAAATGTGTACAGGTCTGGACAGATAATTTCTGCAGAAGAGATGATTTGGGGAAATTATGGGCAAGGTCAGATGAAACCGTGGCTTCAGGACCCGGTCCCTAGCCTGATCCAAGATAATCGGATATTCGGTGATAGCCTGTACCCGGCCAGTTACTGATGACCAGCTATCCGTGGTCATCTCTCTCTCGGAAAATTTCTGAGAATTGATTTTTTTTTTACACACACAAAGTAAACGCAAATTGTGACTTCTATACATAATAAGCTAAACAATTTAACAAATAGCCTTGGGGTTTATATTCTTTGTGTAGTGTATCGCATAGCAAAAGGTTTATTGTTTGACTTGGCACATAAATTCACGTACAAACATGAGCTATGTTTTTTTGTCTAATCATCTAGTGTTATTTTCTCAGCACCTCTTAACAATAAGAACATTGCTTAGCCCTCTTTGCTTTGCAAGTTCTGAGATGAAAACAATCCAGAATGTGCTTAAGAATCCACTGCGTGCTTATGAAACATAAAGCTTATGCAAACACACCACGTACTCAAGTCGACCAGTTTGTTTTTAAATATTTTAATAGTGTGCACTGCTGCATTAGAGACTAAATGTGCATTATGCCCAATCTTACATCTAATATGTTCTATACTTTGATCCTTCTATCAAAAGATCAAAATTTAAATATCATATAAATTATACTTTATACAAGTTCTCCTTTGCAGGAAATCAAATAGAATACTTGGTTCTTCTCTAAACATATGAGAATACAAACAAGCAACACATTAAAACCAAAGTGCTCACTGTTTTATTCCATTAAAAAATGCCCTCCGGTGTCAATTAAAATACAAACCCTCTACTTTTTCCTAAATGATTCTAAATGTCCATGTGCGTAGTTTCACATTTTTAAACATATTCTTAATATTTCCTCTAAAGGTTCTTAATTATGCATGGTATTTGCACAAGAAATGCTATGTAACTCCTCTTCCTGAAAACTCTGAGAGGTTACATAAGCCAAGAGAGACGACAGTAGAAACTGAACAATTGATATTGGATCTCCAAGAGCCATGAAAAGTTGTCATTTTCATACAAAAAGTGTAAAGTATGAACCTTGTTCATACTTTGTTTAAAAAACACAGCTGTAAAAGTTATTCTGAGGACAATGAGGAAAATGTGACCATGGGCAGGACATAGATATTAGAAAAGTGTTTTTGTTCATTTTCTTAGGTGCATTAATTGCTTTGCGATTCATTAAGAAAATGTCCTCATTCATAGTGCCTGACGTAGGGTGGAAATGTCAAGATCTAGGAAACTGACAGATGGCCCAACAATGTTTAAAAAATTGTACATGTGACTGCTGGCAGATTAAAATATGAAGCAAATATGAGAAAGTGTTAATACTTGAATCTCAGTACAGCTGCTCCTGTCATCAGCCCTGCTTATCTGTGGGTCCACCTTCAAGATTCAACTAATCGTAGATTAAAAATAATTTTTTACAAATTCCACCTGCACTAAACACACATGGACTTTTCTCTTTGCCACTGCTCCCTAAGCCATACAGCCCCACTATTTAGACAGCATTTACACTGTATTATTTATTACAAGTCATCTAGAAGTGGTCTACGGTCTACAGGAGGATTTTGTAGGTCCTATGTAGATACTACACCATTTTCTGTAATGAGTTTGAGCATCCG